AGGAGGTGGCTCTTGGAAATTGTCCACTCTTCTTGCACTTGAAGCAAGAATCTGCAGATTTTTCTCTCTGGATTTGGGATGAACTTTTGGACACTCTGTGCATATCAAGGGCTTTGATAATTGCGACAGTCATATCATGGCTTGCCATTTCTCTCTACTCTGTTGCCTCTTTTCCTTTTTGAGATCATGAAGGCCATGTCAAGTAATAGAGGCTGATTGGTTTGGAGTTCTATTTTTTAGCTTTTGGATTTTTTGCCTGATATCTGGGGCAGTTTGGCTAAAATATTTTCCTATAAAAACTCTTCCTCTAGAGAGGTAGGGTCCAGATTAGTATATTTTCTAAATCCCTCTTCTAACCTATCATAGAAGGCAGCTGGCTTTTCACCTTTTTCCTGAATGATCATTCTTAGTTTGTAATAATCTACAGGCTTTTATCCCATGTTTCACTCCTGCCAAGAGGGCCTCTAATTTAGCTCTTCAGTTCACCAGTCTATACTCCTAGAAAATTCTCTTGTGGAAGTCTAGTAAATTAAACATCCACTTCTTTGTGTGGTGTGTTTAAAATTCTTTCCTTCTCAATTGGGGTGCAACAAAAACACATAATGAACTCTACATCCCTCTAAGAGAGGCCAGGAGCCAAGGTCAGTCTCTGAAACTTATAAATTTACCTCAGCCCTCAGAATATTCACCCAACTTTTATCTGCATTGTTGAATATCAGTGATGGCAAAGGGTTCTGATTGAGCCCTCTTGTCCAGCTATTTCCCTGAAGGGTTAGAGGGTCATGCTTCAAGTATGTGATGAACTAAAGGGTTGATTATTTATTCCTTCTGTCCCCTTCGGAATGAACATACCTGTGCTTGGGGCAGAAGGTGAGGAGTGGTATGGGGGTTAATCCCTTGTGAGATTCTCTTGTGATTCTCTTGTGAAGGGAATTCTCTCATAAGTTTCATCAGAGTTTGTAACAGGGACTATCTACTATATCCACATTTGGTTGAGGCTTTAATGAAGGGATTTGGCTAACTTTTCTGCAAAAGAAAGGGTCTTGGTAAAGAGCCATAAAGGCTTGGACATATGGGACTGTGGATCACTTTCCTTGTCTTCTACCTAGCAAATCTATTTGTAAGATAGCATTATGATTAATGGTCCCATTTGGCGGCTATTGTTCTTACTCCCAAAGTTTATATTGAGGTCAAGCTGCACTACAAATTAATATTATGCATTTTTTGTTTTGGTTTTTATGTCACCTGGGTCAAAATTTTCCCAATAGTTAAGGATACAGCCAAGGGGCGAGTCTTGGGGGATCAGGTGGTTATTTCCCATGTCGCCTCCTGGCTGACTTGCTACAATATATGTTGTGGGGTGGTGCCAGTGATGTCTGCATTCTTGGTGTTCCAGACAGAGAATTGAATGAAGCAAGCCAATTGTGAAAGGAAAAGGTATTTTAATTAAATAAAAACAAAAATACACTCCCAAGAGGTAGGCGTGGGTCTGAGCAGGGAGGAAGAGAGAAGAGAGAGAGGGAGAGCCTCAAGAGCCCCTAAATTAATAGCTTATTTGATTACAAAATCGAGTAGGCATGTATGGCTTGTCTTTTTTCCCTGTGTGATATACCTCCCATCATGGAATAATTACTTTAAAATATTAGTTTTTATCTTAAGAACCATCAAAATATCTTGAATGCAATATGTACTATTTAAAACTTTTGGAATAGTGTTTTGTTTTTGGACTGCTAACTAAGTAGGACTATACAACACACTACATAGTTCAATTGTTAAGATTGTTGGCCTCAATTACACTTTTTATTTTTATTTTTTGAAGAAGTTTTTGCTATAGGGCACATGTGCTCGCTGGAAAGAGAGAGACAGAGAGACAGAAAATGAGAAATCAACCCCCAGGGGGGATGGCCATGCTGCAATTCCTTTTCCATTCTCCTCTCAAGATCTTGGGCACACACGCACATGCACCCAGCATTGAGTTCAAGCCACCGGGTCTGGGACTTGAACCACGTCAACTACATGGGAGTCCAGCAACATAGCCATTATGCCAACTGCTGCTCCCTCAAGTGCAATTTTCTAATGCCTTGTGTGTGTATAGAAAGTTATTAAATGGTAAAGTACCCAGCTGTGCATTTTGTACTCATACTTTTTAAAAATTGGTGCATTAATAAGTATTTCTGTTATTTTCTGAGAATTAAGTTGCTGTTTCAAAAGAAGTACATGAGAGAAATTGTAGCCCTCAATTTTGCCAATGGTCAACAGCCAAAGAGCAAGATGAAGGGCCAAGAACGAACTGTAGCTGACCAATCTGTGCATCATTTTGAAATTCACCATTTAGAACTGACCTCTCTTCTTCCATAAAAGACCTGAAGTGGCTACTGTCCTCTTTTTCCTACCATCTTCCTAAAGATCGTTTATTCATTTTGGCAGAGGGTGTGGAGAGAGAGGAGAGAGAGATAGACAGAAAAAGTGAGAAATCACTGCCCTTGGAGAACAGTCATGCCATAATCCCTTCTCCTCCATTTCTCTCTATTTCCAGGAATTGAGACATACATGCATACATTCCCAGTGTGTTTTGAAAGTCACTGGGTACAGGACTTGAACTACATATTCAACCATGTGGTATCCAGTTATCATAACCATCACACCACCAGCTGGCCTGAATCTTATTTTTAACCTATTTTTAAAACTCTTCTGTAGGAGTCACCTAGTAAAATTATAAGAGGTATGGCTATGCAGCTACTAAGTGTATTACTTTGTGCTAACTCTCATAATCAATCTGAGCCTCAATTTTGTCATCTGGAAAATGAGAGTAACACTACATGTCTTTAAATATTGTTGTAACAATTGGTGGGAAGGTATATGAAATGTACCTACCATGATAACATTCTCCTTACTTTTGTATTTCCATAATTTTTGTTTTTACAGATTCCTAATGTTGTCATCATCCCTCTCTCTCAACTACTGCTGAATAAGTTTGAGTCCTCATCTCCACTGTCTTCTAAATTGGTCTTCCCATTTCCAGTTTTGCCCCCTCAAATATCTCAATTCTTTACAAACTTGTGTGACTGGCTCAAGGATTCTTCTTAACTATCAGTTTCCTGAGCCTCCATAATTTTCTAACTGCATTGAAAAGTAAAAGTCAGTATGATATGAAAATATTTACTACTACTAAATTATTATTATAATTAATATTTACTGAGCATGTACTGTGTGCTAAGCACATTTCTAAGCACTTAGCATTATAGTTTATTTAATCCCCTCACAAATCTCCATCTTATAGATGAACAAAGAGAAAGAGGTTTAATAAGTTGCACAAATTCACACACTTAGTGTATGGCAGAGCTGGAATTCTAACCCATGCTTTTGTCAGAGGGTAAAATCCAAGTTCTTCTACAAGTTTTACAAAGAAAGGCTCTGTGATCGGCTACCTGGCTCTCTTCCAACCACTATTTTCTCACGTCTCCCTAATATGGCACTCTCTGGAATCCCTGAGCTGCTCCCTGTAGCTCTTCGTGTGCATCATCTTTGATCTAACCCAGGTGGCTCCTCTGCCTCCTTGGCTTTATCTCATCCACCTGCCTCTCTCTGGCACTGTGGCTTCCCTAAGGCTTCAAGACACCAGGCCTTCTCCTACCATGGGCCATTTTTCTAGAAGAGAGCCTTTCAGAGCTTGACCTTGGCAGACCTTTTTTGATTGATGTTCTGGCTCTACCATTTCTTAGCTTTTAGACTTAAAGACCTCTCTGAACTTTAGTTACCTCCTTTTATAAAATGATAATGAAATTTAATGCCTCTCCTTAGAATCTAGGGTTCTGTAAATAATCTCTACAAAGAATAGATGCCTCTTGAAAAATGTGATTTTGAAACTAAGGGGGAATAAAATAACACCTCATTGAAAGTATGGGTTTTTTTTGGTTTTTTTTTATCTTTTTCTGCTTTTTTTTCCCACATTTTTATTTCAAGACTCTGTTGTAATTAGTGGATGACCCTAAGAACTTGTCTAATTATTGGTAGAAACTCATTTCCTGACATGATCAGCACTCCCTTGTGCTGCAGCATAATTTGTCGTGTTGTTTTAGATCCCTCAGGGATCTTCGCAGATTGTTCACGAAGGAGCAGATAGTTCCGTTGCACTGTTCTCAGTTAGGACCATGTCCAGGAAGCTTTCTGTGTAGAACAGCTACACATTCTCCTGATTAAAGAGCTGTGAAGAGCTAGATCTAGTAGCCCAAGGTGATTCTGGAAATCCTTCTTTCGAATTATTCATGCTAAGAAATACCACGAAAGAACACTGGGCCCTGGTTTCTCACTTTCCTCCAAGTAGAAAGTTGCACAACTTTCCTTGCTTTCCCTGTCCCTCCAAGACACGTCATGCTGACACCTTGCTCCTACACTGCGGGCACGGTGTAGCCAAGGTTGCTGCAGCAACAGCACACATGGGGCAACATTCCCCCGTAACTACAGTGGCTGGGACGTGAGTCAGTTGAGAAGTTTCATGGGGTTTTTATTAGTGCATGATGTAGTCCCATGTCATCTACAGTTCCTAGCCTGTCCAAGACTCACACCGGATGATGCAGAGCACTCGATACGGATCACCTTCAAGTGTTAGCTGGTCCAGGGTCCTCTCCCTGAAGCCACTGCAGTTGCAGTTCCTTCCTCAGCTCCCTTCCTCTATCTCCAATCAGAGGCTGAAAGTGAAGCTCAGGCGCACAGCTGGAGCCCCATTTCTGGTAGTGCATGTCCTGTGTGCCTAAACGACCGTGACCTTGGCTGATGATCAAAAAGTTCCTCTTTTTACCCAGGGAACTGGACAATGGTTAACATCCCCGAAGACTTCTTTTCAACACAGTGGCTGGGAAGAACATGTGCTGAAGAATAAGGATGGAACTACTGTAAATCTCTATAGGAATTTATGAAAGTAGAACTTACTATTTAATATTGAGTGAAAGAGGTCATATGTCATTGGTGACATCTAACTTGGGATTTGGTTTCTCTTTCAGACACGGAGATGACTTGATTGTGACTCCATTTGCTCAGGTAAGCACCGCTTGATGAATGGGCAGACTTATCGCAGATATGAACACTTAATTTGGAGGATTAGTTCTGGTTCCTAATTTAATATTAAATAAAGCACAAGAATAAATACAAGTTCTGTGGTTCTTTCAAGTCATTTGGATACAGTGCTGGAGAGTTTGATTTTGGCCATACTGATCTATTTCCTATAAACCCAAGGACCCCAAGAGTACCTTTGCTTCAAATAACAAATAACCTAAAGGATATACTTACGTTAGCCATATTTTCTTCACTGACATAAGCACTGAAGTCTACATCACAGATTAAATTACTTTTGTATAATTAGGTACATGATCAGTGCTTGAAATTTAATAATCCAATTCAACCTGATATCTTATTTACCTCTTTTACGTATGTCATTTGCACGAAGATTTGGCTAGGTGATATGTTTATCTTTATTTGTCCCTGTTAGGCACACAAATTATGAAAATACTGTAACTACATGACATAGGTGCAAAAGAGTGAAGAAAATGATCTAAATTGTTTGGAATATATATAGAAGGGCTAATGACTAAATGGTCCTTGTGTAGACAAAACTTCTCAACGTAAACTACATAGCATGAATAGATTGATCTACAGATTACTTATCTGAATGGCCAGGCTGTACCTCTGGTCAATTAAATCCAGAAATCTGGGGGTCAGATGCAAGTGTATGTATTTTTTTAAATGACAGGTTTTGGGGGGTTTTTTCAGTGTTCAGGAGAAATTGAGAGCCCTTGGTATAGATAACTAGGAACAGAATGAGATAAAAACTAATTTAATCTGGGACATGAAGCAGGTTTAAATGAACATTGAGTAGTAAGGAATGTTACAGAGTGAAATACAAGAAATACTAAGAGATTATAAAAATTATAATCAGGGCTCTGTCATAGACAGCTGTAGCACCTTGGGCAATTGATTTAACTTCTCTGGGCCATTCCAACTGGCACAGTTGGATGAATTGGATGAGGGCCCTATTAAATCTTCTCATCTCCTCCTGAAAACTGAATGGCCTTCAGCAAGTCACTGGATTTTTCCAAGCCTGATTTCTCCTGCTGTTAAACTTCAATTCCAAGAATACCTGCCTCATGAGGTAATTAAGAGGTTGAAATCATAGGCTTGTATAATGATCAGCACAATTTCTAGAAAATCTAATAAAACATGTTTTAATTGTTACTTGTTTATTTAGTGGTGAAATTGCCCTTTCATCTCTAAAATGCCATAATAGATGATAGATATTCTTTTAAAATGGAAAATAACATTATTTGTATAGTAGGATCATGTATAGTTTTACTCTTTTATAAAATTTCTGAAATATTGCCATTAAAATTTAGACCCAAAATTTAGTCAATCCATAAATAACGTAATGTGTAACATTTTTAATTTTCTTTTTATTTTTTAATTTAAAAAGTCTTTAAAGAATTATTTCTATTTTATTTTATTTATTTATTCATTTATTTTAATTTGACCAGAGAGAGTGAGGGAAGGTGAGAAACCAAGCCACCAGATCTTGGACTTGAACCACGGTTGACCATGTGGGTGTGTCCAGCACCCTAACCACCTGCTGGCTCCTTATTCTTTAATGTTTATTTTTAAGGTTTTTGCCATAGGGCATCACAGTTACCAGAGAGAGAGATATAATGAGAGAGAAAATGAGGAATCACTCTCCAGGGGGGATGACCATTCTGCAATTCCTTCTCTACTATTCTCTTAGAATTTGGGGCACGCACGTACACACATATGCCTGGCGTAATTTTCAAGCTGCCGGGTCTGAGACTTGAACCATAGTCAACCATGTGGAAGTCCAGTACTGTCCTTATGAGTAGATTATTGTATTGATTGAAATACTATCTGCCTCTGTGGATACCATTTACAGTTCCCTATTTATTTTACCTGCCATTCCTTCTTCAACCTTTGCTCTACTTAGGATCTTAAAACATTGACCATGATTTAATTTATGCTTTCAAAACAGTTGGACAACTCTAGGCAATTAATATGGTTCATGTTAAAAAAAAAAAAAAAAAAACACCTAATTTTTTAAAAGTCATTCAGGGAAATGTCTGGCCAAGTAGGTCAAAGAATTATCCACTTTCCTAGCATGTTTGGGGATTTGGAATTTCACACTGAATTCTAGTGAAAAAGCTTGACATTAAAGTTTAGGAAAATAAATGTAAGTGAGAGGAAGGAAAAGATTTCCCATAATTCTGAATCCCATAATAACTACTATTGACATTTTATTTTATATCTCTTCAGGGTTGTTTTTTCCGTGGTAATTTTCTTTCCTATAACTCCTAAATATGGCCCCTCACTATCTAAAGTGATCAAAGATCTCTCTTCAAGCCTGTCTCAGTTTCTACATCTTCTTTTTTTTTTGGAGAGGTTTTCACTATAGGGCACGTGCGCTCGCCAGACAGACAGAGAGAGACACAGAGACAGAAAGCAAGAAATGAAATCACCCCTCCAGGGGAGATGGCCACGCCGCAATCCCTTTTCCTCCATTCTCCTCTTGGGATCTTGGGCACGCACGCACACGCGCCCGGCGTGAGTTTTAAGCCACCGGGTCTGGGACGCGAACCGCCGTCGACTACATGGGAGTCCAGCGACATAGCCATTTCTCTAACTGCTGGTCCCAATTTCTACATCTTCTTGAGAATCCTTTTTTTTTTCCAAATTATGATTTTCTGTCAAGGAAAGGGAATAAAATACTAAATTACAAAATAATTTAAGAAATCTAATATATATTCTATATTGTCCTGCAGGGCTAAAACCTATAATATCTTGGATATCTTAATGTTTAAAAAGGATTCTATGGTATCCCTCCATCTTTTAGTCCAAGGTCAAAAATACTGTCAGTGCTAGACATTCCTCTGGTATTTAACTTAAACACTTTATATTTCCGATTTCTCGAGCATTTCCCAATAAACTCGGAATCCCTTTAAATCCCAGAAATAGTGACACTTTAAATAATTGCTATATTTCGATTCTGAAATATTCTCCCAGCTCTGTGCTGAAATCTCTTGGTGTGGGTATTTTCTTAGAAATAAAGGCTGGGTGTTGAGAGAAACTTTTTCTGCCTTCCATCATGTCACTCTGTCTCTTTCTCTCCATGAACATAACAATTTGTCTGAAGTTTTTAGGGGCCAAAGAGCACTAAGGAGGCCCAGGTCAATGAAACATACACTGTTTTCTGTCGTAAGCTGTCACTGGCCCCATCAGTCCCCTCCTTTTGATGTGACCTGAAACTAAGTTGGTTAGACAACTTACCTGGAAGTGTGGAATGTTAAAAGAAGTAGAATCTTTGGTGAAGGAGAACATAGGAAATACCAAAACTTTATCCTGGACCCTTCACATCATTCAGACTAAGGAGATACACTTGATTTGAAAAAAGAGTGTAGGAACAGCCACATCATTTTGGCTCTACTCTAACCAAAGTACAGCACCTGGTCACTTGCAGAAAGAAATTTGTAGTTATTAACATATAGAACATTCTATGCAGTAGGTAGTAGTAATTAATATTATAGAACATTCTATTTATATTTTAAAAATATTTCTTCCTGTCCCTTCCTCATTTCACCCAGGAGCAACAATCTTGTAGCCTCATCACAATTTCCAAACTTCCTAAACCCACCGGACCCACTCTATTAGGTTGGGAAAGAAGACTGTCATCTTATTTCAGTTTCTTCCTTTTATTTATTTATTTTTTTTAGCTTTATTTTAGTCTTCAGGAACATAAATTACAACTAGTACCTTCTAGGTTTCTAAGTTTTTGTTAGGTCAAAGCACATGAAATTGTCAATGCTCAACCTTTTGACATACAAAAACAGTCAATTTCATATGGTTTAACTTCTTTTTTTTAATAAAGACATACATTTCTGTCTTGTAAATAATTATAATTTGATTTTTTATTTTTTCCTGAAAGTGAAACAAAAGCAAGGAATTCTTTCACACACACCCTCTACCCCAATGGCAACTTAAGGTCTGTGCTTTACCACCATCTAGTGGCATAAAGTATATATGAAATGAAAAACAAGTCTCAAAACCATTTTTTCTCTCTCTCTCCTATTTCTTTCTCTCTCTTGGCCTTTTATGTTCAGTTGTGTACTGTTAATTGAAGCTCTCATTTGTATGCTATTTTTAGTGACTCTCATGTGTGAATAAATGTGTAAAAGAACCTAAAAGAATAGTGTGTATCAGTAACATTTCATTCCTCTCATGAACATCTTTGTTCAAGATTTTTCTGTAGTATCAGTAGTTCTTTCCTAAGGAGTATATGTTCTCATTATTCCAAAGGCATTTTTTTACCTTGACTGATTATACTTTTACTTGGAGGAGCAGAAGAGAAAAAAAAAAAAAAGACCTTAATTTTCTAACCATTGAGCACTGTGGAAGAGACCTCAGGGACCTTTTTGTTTAGTAAGCATTAAACAGTAAAGAAAATTTCAGGGGCACAGAGCTCTGGCCCCAGATCTTAAAGAGGTGAACTCAGGGGATGTGAGAGCTGCCCTAGAAGAAAAGCAAAACATAACTGAACCTTAACTTGCACCTCAACATAGAGACATTGGTACACTTGTTTTTCATTCTCCCTGACAGCCTGGAGTGGCAGATGACTGTCTCTCTTTGTTCTGCAATGGGCGTGAGAGCAGAAAAGATTAGCACTGTGATACTTCTGATGAAGACACTCGGAGTCTATCAGCTAGGCCTAGGGCAATACCCCTACGTCAGATTTGTCTGGAACACTGCTTTATACTTTTGCCAATATCATATGTATCATAGTTAAGGAAGTAATAGTTGATGTGTTATGTAAAATGTATAAAATATTATTTGTCCAAGCACAAACAAGCAAACAATAATTTAAAACTTGTACACAGGGAATGATGTAACTTTCTTTACTGCAGCAGTACTTGTAAAGTCAGAAAGAACAGTTTTTGGTATTTTTTAGTTTTGTTTTGCTATAGGGCACATGCGCTTGCCAGAGGGAGAGAAAGAGAGAAATGCTCCTCGGGGCAAGGCCATGCTGAATCCCTTTTCCATGTATTTTGTAAACACACACCCACCCACACACTCACACACGACATGTTTTTTTCAAGTCACTGGGTCTGGGACTCAAACTGCACAGTAGCCTATGTGGGATCCAGTTGCCTTTACCACCACACCAGTGGTCGGCCTAATTTATAAAGCAAACTTTAAGGTAACCTAAACTCATTGGGAGGGACAGGCAGCTGACTGCCTAAAGGAGAGACTGGGAGAGAGATTTCCTTCTCCACATTTTAATTTGAAATATTTCATAAATGTAAGAGAATACATCTAGTGCTTAAATTAAGTATAAAAAGTAACACTAAAATGAATGGTTTCAGAAATAGATCAGTACTGGGACCAGCAGTTAGTGTAATGTCTGTCGCTGGACCCCTATGTAGTCGACCGCAGTTTGCGTCCCGGACCCAGTGGCTTAAAACGCACGCCGGCCATGTGTGCGCATGTGCCCAAGATCCCAAGAGGAGAATGGAGGAGAAGGGATTGCGACGTGGCCATAGCCCCTGGGGGGTGATTTCTCGCTTTCTATCTCTCTGTCTTTCTCTGTCTGGCTGGCGGGCAAACACGCCCTATAGAATAAACCTTTCCAAAAAAAAAAGTAATAGATCAGTACCAATATTTTTAATGCACCCTGAGTGTCTCTCCCCAATTTTATCTGCATGCCTCTTCTTAGAAATTACAATAATTTCTATTTTCGTCTTAATCGTTCAAGGGAAGACTACTTGCTTTATATCTATTTTTCTGTTTAAATTCTGCAACATGTAAAAATAGATTGTGTAAGTGCACATACATGAAATTTAAATTTAAAACAAAATATTAAGTAAAATTATTTATTATATTAGATATTTATTCTAATATGGCCTTTCTATGGGAAAAGATTTTTATGAGCTAATGTTTCCTGTCAACAGAGCATAGAACGTGAATTACCCTCAGTAATATTTCTCTTTAGCCAGTTGTCAAATGCAGTGAACCCAATTATCTATGTATTAGAATAAAATGCTCAGAGTTCTAAAGCTAAAATCGTTGCTAGAAAAGGAATCGTTTAGCTCATGTCATAATCTTATTTAAAAGCCTTTATGGATGGATTTGATCTTCACTTCTTAAAACATAAATTAAGCCTGCATGATTTAATGACAGTGGTTCACTTATCTGGTTTATTTCTGCATCATTCACGATTTCATGCCAAATGAAAGACATCGTGGTCTGATGTCAGCAGTTGGCTATTTGAATACTCCGTCACAGCAGCATGACCCTTCAGAGCTGCGAGTTGTTTGTATGTGATAATGAGCCAGGTTTTTCCAGTGGCTGAGTTAATCATGGTTGGCTCCCTAGGAAGCACCACTGACTCCTACGGGGGTTGGAAAATACTGGAGGTCACCGTCCTAGGACATATGCAGCTCCCCATTGATTAAATGTCAAATTTAAAAAAAAAAAAAAAAGGTGTCTTAGAAAAAGACTTCAGTCTAGCATAGTACATGATGAAAAAGTCCTGGAAGCAGTTCTGAAACTCATGAGGCAGTTAGAAATTTGAAGGCTCTCAAGTATTACCAATGAGAGGCTCTACTAAATTCCCCATATGCATGAGAACCATTAACTAAATATAATGATACTTCAGTGGGATAATATTTACTGAGTGCTTTCTGTTTGCCTGACGACACTCTTGACCCCTAAACTGTCATTTCGCATAATCCTTGCAATAATTCTATGAGGTAGATGTTATTATCCCAGTTTTACAAATGAGAAAACTGAGGCAGAGCAATTCATCTAACTTGTCCAAATTCATACGTTTACTGTGTCTCAGAACCAGGCACTCCAGGTTGTTATGTAGTTCCTACCAGGTACTATGTTTTGGATAAATTTAGTGTTCTAGTGGTCCTCTGTAATCTCACCTAATACAGTTCCACTCTGGGGAAATTTATCCATTCTAGGAGAAAGTGAGGGGCATGGGAGGAGATAGCAGCACCCTCTCTCTGAGACTTGCTCCCAATTCTTTGGCCACCTTCTAGTTCCCATTGGACTTAGGAAAGGAGGGGAGGGCTCTCATAGATGGTGGCACCTTTTGGTCCTGCCTTGCCATGTGTATTGACACGTTATATCTGTGTATTCATATATTCAACAAATCGTTACTGGATATCTTTTTTGTGTCAGGCACTGTGCACATCCAGGGCAGTAGCATTTTATATGAGAAGTGCATCCCTGAGGACATCTTATATTCCGTGATTCAGTTGGCCTTCACAAAGGAAAAGAGTTCCATTTACTAGTTAGAGTAACCATGTGATAAAGGTAGATAAACCATTTTAAATTGAAGTTTCCAACTAGAAATGATGGAATTCTTGGTGAAGTTTTCATTGTTTTTCACAGTGTCTCGCTGTCATCACCTTTCTACCTTGGCTTCCCAGCTAGGCCTGTGCCAGGCTCTTTCAGACAGGGTCTTGCTGTATTGCCCAGAATGGCATTAAGCTCATAATCCTCTTGCCTCAGCCCTCTGAGTAGCTGGGACCAATGGCACATATCCCTGCACCCAGCTTTTAGGATGGGCTGGGAACCGAACTCAGGACTCCCATGTTGGTCCAGCTTGCCAAGAAGTAGTATCTACCAACATGCACTATGGCAGCTGGACCCATGGTGAATTTTTTAAGAGAATGTGAGGGTAATTTTGTTTTAAATTTTATCCCCCAAAATGAGACTTTATTAGTATTTTATATTACACTATTTCAAAATTTATACACAGTACAACAATGCTATATGTATTTTGCTATATTTTGCTATATGTATGTTGTCTTGGTGACTAAAATATCTAAGAGTACTGTGGAAACTGCTGTTACTATCTATCACCATGTTTATAGACAATGAGGAGAAATTGCTGGAAAATCTTTGTAGTCTGTTCTCTGGATTTCATATGTGAATATGTGAACTTTGCTATGTGTGGGGAGAGTCCTTGGTAGTATATGGAACTAAGTTGCAAGCAATACAGGTTAAAAAAATCAATTGTTAAGTTGCAAGCAATACAGGTTAAAAAAATCATTTTTAATTGCATTTAAAATGACCCTAGTTCAAGAAGTTTAAAGAATCCTTCTTTGTTGTAGGTCTTGGCCAGCCTGCGAACTGTACGAAACAACTTTGCTGCATTAACTAATTTGCAAGATCGTGCACCTAGCAAGTAAGTTATCCTTTTTCCCCCCTCTTTCTTGCTGAACTTTTAAATAGTATTTTCTCGATTTTATTGAACTCAAAGCAATATAATAGAGTTCTCTGAGCTGTTGTCATGTTATCTAACCACGTACACTAAGTGGTATGATGTCCTATTAATTATCTATAAATACTTTGTAGTGTGATTCTAATGCCAGAAATGAAGCAGTATGACAAATAAATATGGTGATTCCATCTGTCAGAAATTATCTGGCATGATCAGTCCTCTGCCCAGTTTTACACTCAGGGTAACTTTATAATTTTGGCTTACTTCATATATTAACTATGGGCAAATAATATCATCGAGTCTTAAAGTCAACTCAAAGTCATCCTCCTATGATACTGATTCCAAGATTTTTGATTCACCTGCTGTAACTGTCTCTCAGATCAACTGCATTGATGGAGCAATTGATAAAGTTGTGATTTACGTGATAACAGTGAAAACTGAAAACATCTGAAAAGGGGAAAGCTGCAATGAGAAAATGTAATCTGAGGGCCTGGATAAGATGAAAAATCTAAAAAGAGAAAATTTTCCAAAATAAAATGGAAAGCTGAGTCGCTATTACTCAAAGGTCTATTATTTTAAATCCATTAGATAAGATACCATTAAAGAATTTAAAGAATTCAGCCCCAAGGAATTTCCTAGAAAAAGTACACTTAAATCAATATTAAAAGGACAGTGAATAGAAATGTATTTGGAATTATAACTTGCCTAAGTGTAAAATTTCATAGTAATTATTACTCTTAAAAAAAACACAAAAATGTGGGGCCAGCAAGAAGGCACTAGATCCCACTTGACTGACTACACAGTTTGTTTCCTGGACTTGGCAGCTTGAAAGTCATGCCAGGTACATGTGCATTTGTGCCCAAGGTCCCTAAAGGAGACTGGAGGAAAAGGGCTTGTGGCATGGCCATCCTCTCTGGGGGATGATTTCTCACACTCTCTCTCTCTGTCTCTTTGTCTCTCTCCAGCAAACACATGGCACCCTATGGAAAAAGTAGGGAAAAAAATTCTGAGCTTTCCTTTCCAAAACAATATAATTGACCTTCCAAATGAACATACTTCATGAGTACTAAAGTTCTGGCCACTGTGCCAGTACTTCCAGTGATTAAAAAAAAAAAAAAATGTTTTTTTGAATCAATTTAAAATGCCACAGTGCAAATCATTGAAACGGAAGCCATAACCTTCAGTTAATTGTCATGTTTCCCAGGTAATGAATTTTTGTGGTCCTGTTCCCTCAGCCAAAACACATCTCCTCTTCTTCTTCCTGGCCTCGTCCACTGAGCGTACAGTACTTCATTCTTTAGGCTGTCACAGCTTACATGCAGTTCCTCAGGGGCATCACTCCTGACAGCACTCACAGGCCCCAAACGGTGATGTGCCTTTCCATCTCTGTGTTCCTGTGGCCTGTTTGCTTCTTGGGAAGTTCCCTAACAATGTCTGTTCAGTCAGCAGGGGTTGTAGTTCATTCATATTTGTATTTCCAGTCCTTAGCCTAATAGAAAGCATTCTGCTAATACTTGGCTGAAAGTAAAGAGAGAATTCCACAGGCGAAACCTGAGGTTGTGCTTCAAGGCATCTGTTTCTCCCCAGTCCTGTTTTCTGTGCAGGGTAGCTGGGCGACATCATACTGACCTCAGCAGTCCCCTGGGGCTTTTGTCACTGGTAGTTCATAGTCCAATCACCTCTTCTTTGGAAGACTTCCGCTCTGCAGGAGAAACTGAATTACTCTTACCACTTCCAAACTTTTCAGTCTCAAATTTTATGTAGAAATTGAGATTCTATCTTAAAACGCAAATAGGAAATTTACTTCCTTTAACTTTCCTTCATATCCCGTTACCTGAGAACCAGCTTTTAAACCTGTGTCAAGCAAAGATTTGACCAGGTAGGTGTGAAAGTGTGAGTCCAACCTATCTGCCTGTGAAGAAATTATCTGAGGCCTATTCTATGTGAGATAGTGTTTTCAACTGATTCGTAGGAATAGAACAGATTTAAATGGAAAGAAGCAACTGGAAGAAAGTCCAACATAGTTTATATTGGAATTCCTGATCTGCTTTGACCAACTGTGCAATGCCAGGCATGACATCTAACCTAATGGTATTATCTGGTGGGTTCCACGGGAAAGCCCATGTGGTCTCTCTCCCTTTTGGTCAGTTCCAATTTGTACTTCCACTGATTCAAACCAAATCATCTTCCTCCAGTATTAGAATACTCACATTCCATCTACATACAACTATGGTCTGTTCTGTTCAGTGGTGGCAAAGTGGATATAACTCCAGCTCATCATGCAGTGGCTTGGAAGGAATCCGAATTTAATTGGCTAAGCACTCACTATGCCACTAGAATGTACCCAAGCTCATCTTTGGATTTAGTGAGAAGTGTGTGCCTCTCAGCCCTTCTCCCTTGCAATAGGAAAGGAACTGGGAAGAGTATCTGAAGACCAATCCCTAGATGGGTATTCGGATGTACATTACTGACTTTGGTTAACTTGATACTGATTCCTATCACCTTGCTCTTTCTTGATGCTGAGATTTTTCATTCCACAGTGAGTTCTGACTCATTCTTTATTAAATGATGTATTGGTGTAACCAAGAATTAAATTGTGAATATTTTCTGCTGCTTGTTACTTGTTACCAAGTTCCCAAGAGCTAGTTGTAGCATTGCTAATTAAAAGGAGGTAATTAGTAACAAGTCAATAGTTCAGTTTTCTAAAATTGTGTTTATTTGATACTTTCTCAGACAAAAATTGGTATTCCGTGTTTTCAGAGTAAGAACTAAAAAGGAATAATAATACATATGTAAATTATTTGAATAATCACATCTCAATAAGAAATTACTAATGTAGGGAACCAGCAATTAGCATAGTGGCTATGTAGTTGGACTCCCACGTAGTCAACCGCAGTTCGCGTCCCAGACCCGGTGGCTTAAAACTCACGCCGGGCACATGTACGTGCGTGCCCAAGATCCCGAGAGGAGAATGGAGGAGAAGGGATTGCAGCATGGCCATCCCCCCTGGGGGGTGATTTCTCGCTTTCTGTCTCTCTGTCTCTCTCTGTCTGTCTGGTGAGCGCACGCGCCCTATAGCAAAAACCTCTCCAAAAAATAAATAAATAAATAAATAATTTTTAAAAAGAAATTACTAATGTATAGACTACAGCTATTTCAGATCAGTACTTTAAAACATTAACTGTTTTATATTTTGAAGTATTTTATCCAATTTGTATATTCCCTTTTTAATTCAAATGAAAAAAAGTGAATTTACAAATAAATTTGAATGCATTTTATTTTTTAAAGAATATTTTATTTATTTATTATCAACAACATTTTTTTTGGAGAGGTTTTTGCTATAGGGTACATGTGCTCGCCAGAGAGACAGAGAGACAGAAAGCGAGAAATCAACCCCCACGGGGGATGGCCACACCACAATCCCTTCTCCTCCATTCTCCTCTCAGGATCTTGGGCATGCACACACACATGCCCAGCGTGATTTTAAGCCACTGGTCCAGGACTTGAACCGTGGTCAACTACATAGGATCCAGCGACATAGCCATTACGCTAACTGCTGGTCCCTATTATCAACTTTTAATTGGATCAGAGAGAGACAGAGAGAGAGAGAAGGAAAATGAGAAAGCAAGCAGCCAGTTCTAGGACTCAAACCGTCATCAGCCATGTGGGAATCCAGTGCATTAAGCATCATACCACCTGCCAGCCATGTGGTACATTTTCAATCACTCCTTTTCCCCTCAAGTCAGTCCCAGTTGATACTAATAAACTTAAGGACAGTGAGATGGAACCATACACTAAATTGAACCTGTGGGAATTTATAAACTACCACAGTGCTTTCCCAATGTGTCCCCAGCCCTGCTGAGTGATCCGTAATCTTACACGCAGAGCTGAAGAGCCTACCGCTGCCTGCACATGTGTGTGACCATTCATCCCGGTTCCATCAGGCACCGAAAAATAAGGCAGCAGAGCACAGGCCCTAGAATCATGTGTCTTTAGTTCAGATCTCAGCACTGAGCAGATTTTCAATTTTCCAAAGCTCTGTTTTCCTCCTTGGTAAAATGGGAACAATGAGACTACCTGCCTTTAGGCTTGCTGTGAAGATTAAATGAGACAATCCATTAGCACATCTGTCTCACAGTAAGCCCTCACTGAGTGTTAGTCTGAAGTAGAAGCATTAAAAATATATTGGGTCATTGGAAAAATCAGGACACACTTTTATATAGAAAAACAGAAAAATACTTCAGATGACCCAATACATGTGTTTTGCAGACACCCTTGAATGTATCTATTCTTAAATATATAACATTGTTATGTATTTTTAAATTGACTTATTTAATATTATTATTATTTAATTTGATATAGGGCACATGCACTCACTGGGGTGGGTAGTGGGGTAGAGAAAGCAAGCCACCAGGTCCAGGACTCAAGTCGTCTTAGGCCATGTGGGAATCCGGCATCTTAACCACCATACCACCTGATGGCCCCCAGATTGTTATATTTTAAAAGTTGCCCATTATAAGTAACTACTTTGTAAAGTAATATGGAAAGCAATTTTAATGTACATTCTGTAACTGTTTCTCTTTACAACATAACTTGTGAGGTATTGATTGAACACTGGATACATTGTTCTGGGCTCTGTCAAGAAGACAAGTTAGTCACATAGCATGGTTTTTTACCTCAAGGGGTTTATAGTCATCTTTTGGAACTTGGCACATTCAGAAACTTAGAGAAGGCAGAACAGAATCTACTTAATAGCTTTGGTTTGTAGTATTTCTAAAGTCTCTAGAATATTTATTTGGACAAGTCATTAGTATACCTCTCTAACAAATTACCAGAATATTTGCTCAATTTAAGAAAGTAGAAAGGAAACATTTTAATTAATTCCTCTAATTGTAAGATAATTTATAGCAAACCATTCACTTCTAATAATATACAGGGAATCATGAGAATTTATGCCAAAAATTTAAGTTTCTTAACCTTGTATTAAGGAAACCAATTGTAGACTGACTGCTGTTTCAAATTCATATAGTCTGTGTTTGCTCTGTAAGCTCTGGCTTAACGAAATACAGCTGATCAATAATAATTTCCTCTTGTATAATGTCCCCATGACACTGCCATCAGTTTTATTTACCCTGAAGTCTATCACTGTGAGATTTAACAATTTTCTTTTTTGACATGTGTGATCCGAGCCATGATACAAAGAGTGTCTAGGCACTTAACCGGCTAGTCTAAAAGAAATCTTCATTTGCGTGTCCCAACTTAAAAATAGTCCTTTAGGTTAACATACCGTATCTGGAATGACTCAGAGCACTCAGATCAGCGAGCACCACGTATTTACCACTTTATATTTTTCTCTCTTGTCAGAAGATCACCCATGTGCAACCAACCATCCATCAACAAAGCCACCATAACAGGTAAGTCAGACCTGGGAGTGTATTGTTCTCCTGTATAGAAAGAAATGATATCTCTCATGGGTCAATGTAATACTGACACCAACTTTATACTACAATTCTAAAATTTTAAAGAAATAAATTCTTTCTTCTGTATTATCATTTCTATCAGTGACCTCACATCGTCCTCCTAAGCTGGTACTTGGAACATTTTTACTGATATACTGTCATTTCTTAAAATCACTTAACTTTGTGGCTCTACTCAGTTTAGCATTGCTTTGGGCATTTGGATTTGGAGAGATGAACTCACCTTTGGAATGTTTACCATTTTAGTTCCATGTCTATGTTATCAGCATGTTGTTAATATGTGGTAGCTTGGTTTATTGAAAGTGAATGCATAAATGAAAGAGGTAAATTCTTGGTGAATCCGTATCCCACTTATGTGTAGGAAGGAGCACTACTCCAGTGTTCCTTATTAGGACCCAGGGAGCCGAGAAGAAATCCAGGTTGAGAGGGAAAAGAAGTGCTTACACAATATAAAAAAAGTTCAATGAGATCAAAAGAAAGAAATTTATAGATGGTTGAGAAAGAAAAGTAGAGAAAGAATGAGGGAAGTGAAGGGTATAAAAAGAAAATGATCTCAATTTCTGAGTCTGTTTTAGACACTGCACTTGACCTTAACTGAACCAAAAATGGGGAAAATGGTCTCATTTTGCTGAACCTGAAACTAAATTAAACTCATTTACTATGTTCTCAAAACCCCAATTGATTCATTAAAATAATTGCCTGGAAAAGAAAACTTATGTTTTCTAAAATTATCAACAGAAGAAAATGAATTCATTTTCCAAACCAAACCAGTATTTCATTTGATTCGAGTGTCTTTCTTGCACTCGTATGCTGAGCAGCACCTTCTTAATGTATTAGTGAGTACACTTTGCTTGAGATGTAACTTTGTCCTGTCTAGGCAGCTGGTCACCTATGTGGTCATCACATCAGAGTTGATGCTGAAACAGTTCTTGGTGTGTCATTTTTTCCTGAATGTCTATCAGATAGTACCTGTAGTTCAATTGCTATTAAGTTATTGGCTCTCTGTTCCATGTTTCTCTTCTAACCTCTTATTGGTAATGATTTTCAATTGTCATTTTATATATGTATTTTTTCACCTGTTTTGTTCTCGACACCAATCAAGAGATGAGCAGTAAAATCCCTACATACTAAAATAAATTCTTTGGGTACAATATTTCCACACGTGCAAATTCAATATAAATGAGCCTGAACTCAGATGGAGGTGTGGGGCTGGGTCTTGCTGTTTCTAGTTGCTTTTTTGAACATGTACAGGGATGAACAGGCCTGCTTTTGTGAGCACGTGCCTATGGCCTCTAGTGAGAGAAGTTATGTGGAACCTGATCCCCAGCCCTGCCCTAGGCCCTAGGTCTGACCCCTATGAAGAGGAACTACCCCACCCTCATCACTATTTTTGCAAGAAATAAGATGACCTTGCGATTTGAGCACAGTGCCTGCTGTTTTCATAAGAAACGTGTTCAGCTTGAAGTCACATATGAACTAACCTCACAGGTGGCAGCATCCTCCCAGGAGAGCAGCTTCATGTACAGGTGGAGGCTGTTGTGTCCCACAAGAGATGGGTTGGGGGTTCAAAGCTCAGGGCCACTGCCCAGCCCCCCTGGCAGATGTCCTGCTCAGAATTACCAGATAGTAGCTGCACTCAGAGGCCACAGATCTGATCTTAAACACGTGTGAGGGACCTCATAAAGACACCTCGAAATTTTTACACAATTTTGAGGCTCTGGAGAAATACCAGAGGGAACCATGAGCCATGAAAGTGGGGAATTAATGTTAATATGGCCTCATGTGTACCCACAAGCTCCTGACCTGAGGCCCAGAGACAGTGGGGCTACAGAAATATCTTCTCTAGAAAGGGAAACTAATTAACTGTCATTAACTGCTTAGTGCAGCTGGGCTCATCACAAAGCATAACAGGAAATTAATTGACTAGAGAATGGAAGTCTTTTTTTCTTGCCCAAGCATAGCTAACCAAGGAGGAAACATGGGATGGGTACTCAGGGATTAGGGCAACAGCCAAGGAGGATTCCTTTCTCTGAACCCATCCTGGAACCATGGGCCCTTAATACCTAAGTAATAATACTAATTAAAAATAATAACAGTGGTGATTGAGACTGGAAATGGTAAAACTCAAGATGCTGAGAAAAGGTGGTGCTGGTGTGTTTCCTCCCTCAGCACTGACTGCTCAAGTCCTACTTCCATGCTATTCCTCTTCAGGAGGCTTGGCACCCTTTAACATGGTCTTAGCAATTGTGTCTAAGGTCTGGAGGAACAGTGTGGCCTACACTTCAGTTCGTGGCTGTTCTACACAGAGTGGCACCCTGGAAAACAACTCCATAGAACATCACTGACATGGTGCTACTAGAATTTTGCAGAGGGGTGCTCTGACTGTCCAGAACTCAAATCACTGTATAGTGATAGTTCTGTGGCCTTGGGCAGGTGACATACTCTCTCTGCATTAGTTTTCCCATCTGTAAAATGGTAATACTGTTTCATACCGTGATTACTAGGTTGAATGAGTCGGCACCTGATACTCTTAGCATAATGCTTCACAGACTTGACATTGAATAATACATCTTTATTTTGTTTAGTCTTTATTTGGTTTCATTTCCTGGACCCACTCTACATAGAACTAGTCTGCTCAGGCTGCTAACAAAGTCCCATAGACTAAGTGGCTTATAAACATTCTGGAAGCTAGTGCGATCAGGATGCCAGCATGGTCAATTTCTGGTGAAGGCTGTCTTCGAGGTTGCTGACTCTGTCTCCTCATTATATCCTCACAAGGTGGAAAGAGAATAAGAGATTAGGTTCCTTTGAAAGAGCACCAATCCCATTCCTAAAGACTCCACCCGTATAACCTATTTAGTTCCTAAGGACTCCACCTTTAAATACCATCAGTTTGGGGGTTAGGATTTCTATGAATTTTAGGGCATGGCAACATAAGGTTCATAACAAGGAGTGATGAAAAGAATAGGCCGGAGTGATGAATAAAGAAAATGGGAAAGGGAGAAAAAGACGAGCTTGTAAGATCATAAGAGTCAAGTTCATGGATTCCCAGCACGGTCAAAATAGACACACTTGCTTTCTGCCCGTGGAAATACCGTCTCGTAGTTCTCCCTGCCCTATCTCCTTTACGCCCATTACAGTCACGGATGCTGGTGCCTGGTGTTCAGGATCATTGTTAACGTCTAAGAACTTACTTTTGAGTCATAGTTTTATGAAGAAAATAAACTCTATAATTTTTTCATAATCTTTCTCTTCAAGGTTTTAAAAAGAAGCATTAAGAATATCACCTGTGTACATATGCCATACCATATGCTTTCCAAGGATTTACTCTGTCCCATGGCTGACATGTTTGATTTCTTTTTAAAAAAAAAATTGAATGAATTATTTATTAAAGTTTATTAATTATTATTTTAATTTCTTTTTTATGTTTTATTAATTAATTTACATTCATTCACTGAGCATTGTCACAGCATACAAAATGTGATTTCCCATCCAGAATATACTCCATAATGGCTTAATCATACATGTTATCATCAATAATTTTTCATTTCTAGTTTCATATATATGTATATATTTTTCCTCCTATTTCTCACCCTCTGCCATTTCCCACCCTCCTCTCACACTATCTCTGGTGTCTGGTTTTCCATTCCTATTTTCCCCACATTGTATTGACTCGCAAAATTTTCTTTTTTTTTGAGAGAGGTCTTCGCTATAAATCACATGCGCCCCCCACCCTCTGATAGACAGAGTTACAGAAAGTGAGAAATCACCCCCCAGAGGTGATGGCCATGCCACAGTCCCTTCTCTTCCATTCACCCCTAGGAATCTTGGGCACGCATGCGCATGCGCCCGGCATGAGTTTAAGCCACCGGGTCCAGGACTCGAACCGCAGTTGACTACAGGGGAGTCCAGCGACATAACCATTATGCCAACTGCTGGTCCCTGATTCACAAAATTTCTTAAATAATCTGACTACTTTCAATAGCAAGGTCAGCTGATATATACATATCTGTGAATACATGTCTGACTTTAGGTGTGAAACTCTGAGTAGAATGAATATATTATAAAGTAGCACCTAGCTAATGTTATATGGCTCACTATGGTCATTAAATAGATATTTTTCGATACTTTTTTTATTTCAAGAAAAGCAGTTTTAGCTTTAATAAACAAAATCAAAGAAATGCTTAAAGAGCTTTGCTTAAAACTTAAAGCCAGGAAACAGGTCAGGATTCTGTTCAAATAGTAGGTACATGAACATATTGGCAGCTTACGACAAGACAAAAATCCCTAAAACCAGAAAACAAAGCCTAGAAGAAAATCAGCGATGTTTAAGGCAAAAGTCATAAGATGGTATGTTTTATTTCTAAAGCGAATTTTAAAACTAGAAAGGTAGAGGTGGCAAAGAGCATTGATAATGCATCAGCTTTTCTGATACATTTCATTTATGATTTTGTTTTTATACAGTAATAGCGGCACATGTTTAATAATCCGTCTGTAACTTAGAGGAAGGCTCACCTGTGTAGGTCCTTAGTGGACAATGCGTCCCAACCTAAAGCATGTGTTGAAACATGAGAGGGCAGCAAAGAGTCAGAGACACCTGTACTGGGACAATGAACTCCTGTTTTTGGAGTAAAGCCTTGTTGCTTAGAGTGCAGTCGATCATTTGAGCATTTCTGTTCCAAATAATGTTATGAAAAGCGTTCTGCAGCCATCTTGTGAAACCTTGTCATGATTTCGTGATACCATTTTCAGTGTGTTTCTAAATTTCCTTATTTTGGGGACCAGCAGTTAGCATAATGGCTATGTCGCTGGACTCCCACGTAGTCGACCAGGGTTCGCGTCCCAGACCTGGTGGCTTAAAACTCACGCCAGGCACGTGTGCATGCGTGCCCAAGATCCCGAGAGAAGAATGGAGGAGAAGGGATTGCGGCGTGACC